AAGCCCGGGACAACGTCAGACGAAAATATGCTGAATTGCGTCGTGGTGAGTCAGAGTCGTTGACTCACATTCAGAAAAAACTAGCACCAATAATCGAACCATTGAATAGGATTTCCAATGTTGTTAATGTGCAGCAGCATCGTCAGAAACAATCGCAAGAAAATAGCTATTCAAAGTTATATTTTGCACATCTTATAGAACAGTGGACAAAAAATCCGTTGAGAGATAAACAATACGGTCCTAGAATGCATATGGACGGTAAACTGAGCATGGGTAATGCAAACGATATAACCGTAGACAGTGACTCTATTCGTGTAAATGAAACAAAACACCCATTGACGATTGTACTAGTAAATTTGTTGTTTTCGAAAAATCCCATTGCGTTCACCGACGAAGATTTGGAAAAGTACAAAAAAATATTGGAGGAAACCGAGTTCATCTAAACAAAAATATGACATTGAAAAAGGGGGGGTGCTAAATACAATGAAGTTATCGAACCAATGTTCAGCAGCGTAGAATCGGGACTACAGCTGAGAGTCGGTGAAAAAAAAGATTACTTATACTGGGACGATCCCAATGAACTTGTCGAACGTCTGAAGCTACTCATATCGGCTCAGTCGGCTGGCAACACTGGAGTGTCACTCGAGATTGTTTCCATATTAGAAGAACTTTACGAAGCCGGGTACATTGCTGACATACCGTCTACATTATGAAACCGAAAATTGCGTACGAACTACATCGACCGGCCCGGAGAACGTACACTCGAACACGGGTAAACATCAAAGGACTCGATGATATATGGCACGCGGATCTTGTAGAAATGGGCGCGTACGCAGATCGTGGTCACCGATACATTCTAACGTGCGTGGACGGGTTTTCAAAGTACGCGTGGGCCGTACCGTTAAAGAGTAAAACGGCCCTGAACGTGACCACAGCAATGTCGGGTATTCTCGAACAGGGTCGTTATCCAAAGTTGACGCAAACCAACCGTGGTACAGAGTTCTACAACCGACATTTCCAAGCGTTGATGGACCGTTACGGGATCCGTCATTATTCAACATTTACCACGATGAAAGCGTGTCTTGTGGAACTCTTCAATCGCACACTGAAGACGGTCATGTGGCGTGATTTCACTACGCGTGGGTCGTACAAATGGGTAGTCAGGTTGCCTGCACTGGTCTACGATTACAATAACAATCACGTGCACAGAACAATCGGCATGACACCCGCACAAGCTGTTGGGAATCCCAGTGCAGTGCGCATTAAATTACGAAAAATACCCGATAATTTACCGATCAAGTTTCGAGTGGGCGACAAAGTGAGAATAAGCAAAACGAAATCCGTGTTTGACAAGGGTTATTTACCAAACTGGAGCACCGAGTTGTTCACAGTGACCAAGGTTAAACGAACAGTACCGCCAACATATTATCTGGAAGATTACCAAGGGAACCCCATTCAGGGTATATTTTACACCGAAGAGTTGAGCAGGACGCAGTATCCGGACACGTATTTAGTGGAACGGGTGTTACGCACACGCGGAGACCAGTGCTACGTTAAGTGGTTGGGTTTTGGCCCGGAACACAACTCATGGATACCGAAAGCAGATTTCTCACGGCAATGATTGTCGACATTCAGGGCCTGGTGGCTGCCGCCGACCATTCGTTCTTGGTAAAAGAAATGACTGCCATAGACCTGGAGTCCATGTCTATGGCCCACTGAGTGTTCAAACACCCAAACATGATCAAGGACGATGTGAAAACCACTTACTGGCTAAAAAAGTACCATCACGGCTTGGACACGAACATTGGCGACGTGGAATACACTGAACTACCGAGAATAATGTCGTTGTTACGGTGCGATACTATCTACGTGAAAGGCGTGCAGAAAAAACAAGTGTTACAAAAATATTTACCCCGACAGAGGGTAGTCGAAATAGAAGAAAACTGTCCACCACTGCGGAAATTATGTGTGGAATTCCAACCACGTTGTATTCGTCACATAAATAATCATAAAATGTGTAGCTTGTATAAAGCAATGTGTTTGAAACAATGGTTAACGGATAATTCGTAATTGTATTATTTACATATTTTTATAAAAAAAAATTGGTTAAAAAATTACAAAAAATGTATCGATTTATTTTATTAAATAAAACTAATGTACAATTTTGAGTTAATTTGTTTCTTCGTCATCGTCGTCATCATTGCCTAAAGAATAATGCCCCCACGCTTTTATATACACGTCCTTGTACTCTCCTTCGTCACCGATTAACGCCCGCTTATCGTTGTTGTTGTTGTTGACCAACGCGAGTTTATTAATTTCAACCGTCGAAACACTATGGTGTTTTGTGCATATTACGGACATTTTCCTACGGGTTTGCTTGAGTTTACCACGCAAGCAATTCAAATAGTCAACCATTTTGATTTCATGTTTCACCACACCCGTGCTCATGCCTTTCAATCGCTTCACCTCGTCCGTTTGCCACGTAACCAACAACCTGTCGTAGAAATTTTGTATAGCGATTGAATAGGCGTACACTTTGGGTAACAATGCGATAATTTCTTGCATATGCTTACATTACTTCGTAATGGAACTTGTACATTATGCATTTACTTATATCCAATATAGCCTGTCCAATAAAAATGGGTTTGTAAAAATTAATCTTCTCCTTGTACATGTGCACTGCAACCAGATTTTTGTTGAATACGGTAGTGTAACTAAACGACGGTTTTGCCGCTAACCTCTACAGTTTCTTTGGGTTGCACACGAGTTGTATGTTTTGGTGTTTCCGTACGTTCTCCAATGTTTTTCCTGTTGAACGCGAAACAAATAAGTTAAAAAAGTACAATTAAAGTTTGGAAAATTAATTATATGTTACCATAGTTTGAGTTGATCATCAGTTTGGCCATGTTTTGTCCAAACGTGGTTGTCGCTTTTTTACGCAATTCCGTGTTCAACTGAATGTATGGTGCCAACCAGCGGGATTGCATAAATTTTATACATTTATGCAGTTTTGAAAAACAGATTTTCGGGTGACCAACTCCAGCGATTGAAACACTTTGTGTGTGTGCACGAAATCCGGTGTGGCGGTCAGCTTAGATAAACTGGCTTGTAGAAACCTATAAGAATCTATGAACCGGATACGAAAATAATCATTTATGGTCTTGCTGAACATGATGTACTTTTTTTCGGACTGAGCAATGATATATATGTCTTTATCGTCGTACGCCAACTCTGGGATAATCATATGCGAGTCGTAGTTGGACAGACCGTGTATGACGACCGGCATAAAAGCCNACCGTGTATGACGACCGTCATAAAAGCCGGTGGACGTCGTTACAGGTTGCATTTGTTACACAAAACGGAATAAAATCGAGCCGTCCAGTGGTTGTGATCCTTGACTTTTTTTACTTTATCCGTGAATCTAATTGAACACAACTCGCAATTATTCGTTGTATCGAAACGTAGTTGTTCCTCCGGTGTCAGTGGCGTCATATCGATGTTCACCTTCATTATGTCCGATATGCGTTTACCAATGGTTACCAACGTCGTGATAAAGTGTTTGGCCGCATCCGGTCCCCGGTACAGTACCGGTTCGTTTGGTAGTCCATCGCAAATATTTTTCGGAAACACCATGGAATCGCGAACCACATAGAAACAGTAGCTCATCGCCTGGTGATTTTGTGTAACCGTACAGTACTTGGACACTTGTTGCTCGGCGCGAACCAACAAACTCTCCATGTCTGCGTACACAACCACTGGAACCGGCTCTTTTCGCCTTGTGTTTTTGAACCGCAGTACCGACTGGTCGGAGTCGGGTGCGGGAAGGACGGCTCGGGCCTACTTGAACTTTCCATACATTTTAATGTGCTCATCCACCCCCGCTTGTCCGCTCGGTTGAGTCTTTGACGAACGATTGGTAAATACGTTTAAACAACGTTTACAATAGTACTCGTGTCGTTTGCCCTCGGTTCGTTGTTTTGACACGAGTCTCGAGAAATTTGATATATAACAATAGTGGCTGTTTCACGGCTCGGTAACGTAAAGCAAATCAACATGATCGGTGCTCGTACGAGATTTAGTGATACGCAACGGATACACGTTATTTTTATCGTCCAACGCAAACACATTGACCGACATTGACGGGTTATTACGTTCAAATCGAATAATTTGTTTCAATGGTGTAGGAAAGTCAATGCCGTCAAAACGTATATTTGTGGATTTTTCCAGATCAATGTAACCTGCATTCCATTGGTCCCTATGTTTTTTATTCTTGTTGTACTTACATAAAATCGCCCATTTAAAACACTGCTGGTCCGCGTTTCTTGCGTTTATGACCGCAAATTTTTGTTTAATACACAGTGGAGGTTCAATGTACGAGCCACCGCTAAGTGGTGTAATTTTTGTGACTATCAACAGCAGTCCGTCTATGAATAATAGCGACCACCCGCTACCTCAGGTCTCCATTTCCTGTTGTTCGTACACGAGTTTCTCCGTGATTCCATCCAAAACGGCTGCATATACAGTACCTGAATCGACAGTTACGCGTTTTAAACGATACGTCTCTCATTTCACTCATAACTTGGTGTATGTACGTTGTGTGCAGCACAACGTTGAATTTTATTATACCGTGCTTGGTAACGTCATTTAGTACGGTGGTTAAATCGTCACTCACGTATCGAATAAAATCGTCAATTTCGTCAATAGTCGTTTCATTTTTCAAAAAATAATGTATCACTCGACCGCGTAGTGCAGAATCTATAGGAACAAAACCGGTCCCTGCAACGTGCATGCACTCGCGTTTGGTCACCCTACCCGCAGGCGCTGACAAACATCGTTTACCTGAAATAACAGTTTGACGGTGACCCTGATTCATACTACAATGAACATTCAAACCAGTACTATCGAAAATGAAGACCCACAACCGCATACAAACGACATGATAACAACTATTGAAAAATTAATACATTAGTTAAACGTGTGTATGGCCACCTCTTTAATCAACTATTCAGTTCAATGTACTTTTACTATTGGAGTAAACACTACTGGACTGTTAACGGATTATATTATCAATGGTGTGTAAAACTTGAATACATAAGTTATTTTTTTTCTTCTTAAAATCTACTTTAAAGTATTGCTATTGTGGTTTTTGTTTTTACATTTTCCACCAATTTGAAAAACTATCAATCTTATAATATTAATCTAAAGTATAATTTACCTTTGTCATAAACTACTATTAGGTTCTATACTATCGGAGTAATAATGCAAACACAAATAGATTGTGAACGAACTATATAATTTTATTTCAATTGTTGTACATAAATCATCATTAGATACAAACAGATTTTGTTGATTGTAAAAAAAAAAAAGTTAATGCTTTAAAAAAAATTTTATTGAAAATCTAATGAATAAGCATTTCCCGTTCTTCCTCTGTAACAAAGTGACATTTTGGCGTCGCCGTCGTTGTACGTTTTAATTTCATCGTCCGTCAACTGTATTCTTGGAACAAAAACTTGTCGGGCAACCGTGCCACCACCACAACACCGTTTCTCGTTGTCAAATTTTTCATTGAATCAACTCTATAGGCATGATTCTCTACCAAGTCAGACATTTTAATGTACTCCATGCCTTTGGCTTGATTATTCATTTTTTGTTTTAATTGTTCCATTTTCTACACACCAAAATTATTCGTGAGTAAACTATATATATGGTGAATGTTGTATTAATGGTGTACAACTCGACACTGATACATACATTTTTAACAATAACTACTATCATCTGCATGACACGGAGGAGAACACCGAGTAATACAAATTTCCCGAAATTTGCACATAACTTGAAAACAGTGCTATGAATTTTTTTTTTTTTGTCACCTCCATACGCTTGCCACGAGACCATTAATTTGACATTCATATCGGTACTCTCTCATAGCATACTACCCCTTTCCTCTCTCTACTTGTTTATGTTTAAGATAAATCACTGAGCGACAATACAGCCGATGCACTCCTTCAGCTATGTGTACTCATCTAACCATTTAAAAACTGAATTTTTTTTTTCTTTAACAATACAGTTGTTTACAAACTATTCGTCATCATACACTATAGAAATCATTGAGTGTGTATCGGAGCGTAGTACACACACATGTTTACATAAGATAATATTCTTTAACCTTTACAGCATAAATACTAATCTATTCACCATTTCATTTTACGATACATACCCGATACAAATGATCTGATTGTTACTACATTGTTACCATTAGATTATTTAATAAGGAAATCAATACATTTTTTTTTTTATAAGTTAGTGAAAACAAGTACACACATACACACTATTAATACAACATATTTATTTTAATATTTCAACATAATGTATTAAATATATTTACAAAACTATATACTAAACTATAAACTAAACAAAACTATATATACAACAATTAATCTACACTGTCCATGTAAATATTTGTTCATCACTAAATTTACATGAACAGTGAGGTGGAAAATGCAATATCAAAAAGTGCATAGAATAGGGGTTGAGAACAAACTCCTCAACCACCTTTTGTACAATTACACGTTCCTGAATATTCGATAATTCAACAAAACATGTACCCGACCTACAAATAGATGCCGTGGAGCCGTCGGGATAACGTACATTATAAAAATTAAATTTTAAATAATTTTTTTCGCCAAACAGCATTATTAATTTACCCGCTCGAATTTCTCTCTTGTATAAATCGGCACAACTCCGTATGGTTCGTAATGCTTCCGGATCGCGAATATTAAAACCATCATTCATTACTCCCCGGTCAAAAGCTGTGCGATTTCTAAAAAACATAATACTCCAGTACTTTCCATGTATTCAATCAGATGTTCTACATTATTGACACTTTTTGGTAATTTCATTTTGAATAACTAAAATTATTGTAAACTTATAAGTACATTTTGAACTGAATAGTGATAGATAATAACTTACTTTTGATTAAATATACGAAAACAGATACACTTGAAAAAGATTCTGGAACGGTTTTATTGAATATATTTAACCTAAAAATTTGTGTTTGTATTACTTAAAATACTATCACTTTAGTTTTAATCATACATTAGTTGTGCAGACTACAATTGTGTCACAAAAAAATTTTAAATCTGGTTTGAATAAAATAAATTATTTTAGATTATAATAAAAAAAAATGTATTTAATAAATTAATTTTTTGGCAAATTTTCATAAGGTTATCGATTTTTAAAATAAATAAATACATGACAGGGTTAAAAAACAAATAAATTACTATTAAAAAAGACGAATGAAAATTTTATTTGCACAACAAATGTAATCAATAACATAATTTTATCATTCAATGCAACAAGTACCATATATATATTTTTTTCTTTTTAATTACAATAAACAAATTGAATTAATGAAAAAACTTTTTGAAATTTATAAGTAATATAGATTATTAAAAATAAATAGATGCATTGAACGTGAAAGATATTATAACAATTTAAACATTTTACTTGCAATTTAATAACTGTTGAAAAATGCACAGGAATAGCCGTGAAACACAGTTGTAGATATAGATGAAAAGAACCATAAAAACACCAAAAAGTGAATGAACAGATAAATGGTTATTTCTACAGTTATATAGTAAAATTTATATTTTAGGCACAATATAGTGAATTGTTTGGGATAAATGTCCCTAGGAATTCAATATCTTACTAGTGGGGATCACTAAATTGCTTACATGGATATTGTTGTTTATTTTACACAATGTTGTAGATAGCAAAGTAAAACGTATTTTAACGATAAAAAACGTATAGAATATTTACTGGATGTAAGGGTTTGAGTGTAAAAGAAAAAACAAGCGAGATTAGCAATATTTTTGTTAATTTTCATTTAAGTTAGAAAATAAATACATATATACACATAATTCGAACACAATAAAGCTGATAAAGTCACACGTGTTTGTTTTTTTTTATTTTTGTAGATTTGAAAGTTTGTGAATACAAAAACCCTCTTATATTATACAAATTATAAATTTAGTAGTATATTATGTTTTTTACGAAATCGAAAATTGATATTTTTATTTATTACACACTGTATCTTTTATACCGTTTCATATAACACACAAGATACAATATTAAAAATCTTTATTTATTTTTCAAACTACAATACAATATAAGAATAACAAATAATAGTAGTCTTATTTCGTTATTTTATTATTTTGGATAAATAACTGTCCCTTACATAACAATACATGGGTACAGCTAGGAGACCAACGTACGTGTTCTACCCATGGGTCGTCTTCATCATCCCAATCTTTCATACCTTGACTGCAGCAATAACATAACATTTGATCATTTTGTCCGTTACCTAAAAATTATATACACTTATAAATAATGAATTTGAATAAATGTACCAATCATAATAATGCATTCAATACTGTATAGTCCCATACCTAAGTATAAAAATCCAGCATCACAAAGTCTTGATATTTTTGATTCCAATTTTTTTGGACAGTTTTCAAAAGTCTTTTTAAACGAGTGTTATAATCGGCAAACTCTTTGTGTTTAGGGAGTTTAATTCTAGTCTTTAATTAGACGTCGAACAGTAAAATCCACAAACATCATATCCTAAACGAGAAAAATGGAAAAGTAATTTTACGTAAAATTAGTTTCGATTGTCATATCATAGTTTTTATTTTTTACCTGAATTTTCATTGAGACGATTTTCATACGCATTATACGTTTCTTTTCCACTATCCATTTTGGATCAAATACACTTCGATTGTAAACGTATGACCGAACAACAGCGTAAGTCGTAAACAGGGGAATGATTAAACTGAGCAAATTAATTTTAGAAGGACCTTAACACGAACCAAAATGATTTGTGTGTAAAAAACACGACCAAAAAAAAAAAAACTTTTGTTAACTTTGTATAAAAAATTATCATGGTCTGATTTTTTTGGTAGATATCAACACGTATAAATACTACAATTCTCTTAGATTTTTTGAAAAATCTATTAGTGTATTAGTATAGTACAGTTTCTACATTTGTAAAAATGTAACTATATTTGTAGTACAATATCAGTTAATTTATTTTATTTTGTTTGTCAGCATTTTGGTTAAATAACACACGTTGACATTCATATGCATGTTCGTTCTACTGTTTCGATACGTTTTTCCAATATAAAAACACGATCTTCGATTGTTATGTAATCTCGACCGAAAGCGTCCAAACGATTAGTCATTACAAACAAATTATTTTTTAAATTATCAATGTCATCCGCATCTTCGTATCCACTATCGCTGTCGCTACTGTTTACAATCTGATATCTGCTGCTGTCAACGGTTTGTGTGAAATGCAGCAAAATCAAAAAGGTTGTTGCAGCCGTTATACAAATAAATATAGTTTAAAAAAACTAAAAAACACGCTTTTAAAGCACATCGAACTAAAAATTATTTTTAACTTTTTAGTTCGATGTGCTTTAAAAGCGTGTTTTTTAGTTTTTTTAAACTATATTTATTTGTATAACGGCTGCAACAACCTTTTTGATTTTGCTGCATTTCACACAAACCGTTGACAGCAGCAGATATCAGNAACGTATAAAACGACACGGGTCGTATGAAACGGTATTCATTCATCATGGTTGTTTTAAAGTTTTCGAGAACCGTTTCGGCGGTTCCCGTTAAAATTTCGAAAATCGACTCGATCCTAGGGCGGTACGTTAGGGCACCACAGTACGGTGGTATACGACGGATTACGATTACGGTTAGCTACGGTTTTTTTTTTATTCCGTCGCTAATCGAAGATACGCAGCATTTATCAACAGATACACTTAAACGAGTGTATTACAAATCGAGGTGTGGCGTATTACGAATCAACGTGTTAAGGTGTGGTGTAACGCGCATTGTTGTGAATTAACATTCGCAAATACACCGATTGGCATTGCAGAAAGCGTGTACGTCGCCGTCATACTCGACGGTTGGGTTTGGCACTGACGTCAGTAATCGACAATTTATTGCTCCGTACCCGCGACGGTGATATCGCGAGAAACGAGTTAATCGATTTATATTTTTTTTTTTTAGTAATAACCAACGAATATCATTGGAATCGATTTCAATTCGTTTGTGCTCGCCGGTCATAAAATCGAGGAGGTATAGCCAGGAGGAGGGAATAAACAATGGTCGGGCGCGATACCTCCTCGATATTCTTTTCGTTTATATTTTTCATATACATATATATTAACGGCCGGGTGGACGCGTGTAAATTAAAACCGATTTTTGTTTACTGCCGCCGGGGGGTGGGCCGCCGTAAATACTAATTAATAATATATAATAATAATAATATATAATAATAATAATAATAATATATAATAATAATAATATACACTTTGTATCGAGTGTTTTACATTCTTGTTTTTTTTTTTTTTTTTTTTTTTTCTCTTNAATAATATACACTTTGTATCGAGTGTTTTACATTCTTGTTTTTTTTTTTTTTGTTTTATATTCTCGTCGTACCTATTATCGGTCAGACGTTTTAAATCCGTCGTACTCCGTCGTGCTCAAAATTTACACGATAGAATCGTATCGAGTCGATTTCACTCGTATACGACCACAACGGTTATAAACCATATGGTTTCATAACGTCGTTTTAAACAATTTTTTCAATTGCATTTTCGTACGGTGGCTCGTCCTTTTTGTTGAGTTTTCGATAAAATAAATTCTTATTTAATCGATTTCATTTTAATTTTAATTTCGTTAGTCCTATCGTCGTAATCGACCGATCACAAGACGGAAGACCGCCTCGGCGGCGGCTTCCGAGATGGCGCTAGCGAGTTGGCGAACGACGGAGTGTCGTGAATATAAAAAGTCGTTTAACCCGCCGCCAAACACAGGTTTTTTCGGTAACTCGAAAACGCGCAAAATCCGCCGCGACTCGAGATTCACACTCTGCCCGGCGACGGTGGCACTCGGTCGTTTGTTCAATCGATTTGGACTCGGAATCGAATCGGAATCTCGTTTTGGTCGAAGTAGCATTAAAAAATATCGGTGTCGAGAGATCGGCACCGACTCGAGCATATAGACAATATACTTGTAGTATATAGACAATATATTTGTAATATATAGAAAATATACTTGTAGTATATAGACAATATACTTGTATTAATACGCTTTAATTCTATGAAGAAATTCTAATTAAATTTAAAAAATTTTGAAAATTCATTCGATAAAAATAATAAACGGTAGATTATATTTGTAATGAGAGCGTAAAGTACGTTTTTCGCGTATGAAAACCGGTCATAGATTTCGTATGACGGGATCGCCGCAGCGCTATTGAAAAATTTCAATCGTTTTCCCGAATAATAATGTCGTCGACGGCGGCAGCGGTGTTACCGTGGCGCGTTTTTCACACGGTATTCCGTAGTGCGGGGAAACGCATACGCAGTGTTACGCGGCGGCGGCGGAGGCGGACTACTCAAAACGCGATTGCGCGACAACGATGTGGTAAAGGCGCGCGATTCAATCTGCGCCCTCGAGCCACACACGATCCGTGACGCGATAAACCGTCGAGGTAAATTATAAAACCTCGTTGAGGGATATCTCGATGACAAAACGTTAGGATCGTTGGACGGTCGGGTCGGGTCGCGACAAGATGTTGCAGTCCCGGGACAGACGGATGGCAGTGCAAAATTTTGCCTGTACCGTACTGAGGAAAAAGGAACGAGCAGAAAGGCGGCAGTTGGAACGAACGAACGGCCGGAGCCGGACGGCGGGATCCGCGATCCGGTTCTTAATTTGTCGTGTCGGCGCGTACGTTGTCGAGTCGTTTCAGGCCCAACCCAATAAATTGTAAATTGTATTGCGTATTGTTGTAGCTCACAAGTATTATTGTATTGCGTTGTATTGTTGTAGCTCGTTTTTTATCCGTTGCGAGAACGTTTCGTACGTAAAACGTTGTGTACCGGTTAACACGGCCGCCGGGGATTGACGGCCGGTTATAGAAAGTGTACCGGAAATCATGTGAAAAAAAGAGGCGCGGTACGGGATTAGAACCCGCGACCCAAGGCGTCGTATAGACAAACCTTACCACTAGGCCACCGTGCACTTATGATTCAGATCCCGATACACTTTCATTTAGGTTGATAACGTGATGTGCGGCTGAGGGAAACACGGTACCGTGTCAAGGTATTGTACAGTATTATCGTTATTGTTTTTCTTAAGCGCGTTGTATATATTTCGAGATTGTTATATTGGCGTTAATCCATATAGTGTTGTGTATATATATATATTACTGTAACGTTTAAAAAGTTTTCTGAATAAACGGCACCGGGTGGCCCAGGGCAAGTAATGGTTAACCCGGCGAGTTGCCCCCGGGTCGTCTATGGGTGCGCGTGCGCTTGAAAAAAAAAAAAGGGTCGGGTCGGTTAAGTAAAGAGGCGAGCATGTGAGTTTCCTGTTGTGGAATACTCGCACGAATCGCGTAATATAGAACCGACAAAGGAAAAAAATTACAATAAGGGCCCGCGCCGTCATTATTAAATTTAAACCCAGCCGCAAACGACTCGGAAAGAGTTGTTGTTGTTGTTAATGTTATTATTATTATTACAATGATTACTACAGAGACTCGCTACTAGACTACGCTCCTTTGACCGTAAAGAACAATTTTTACATATTAAAAATTTGGTTTTAATATGTAAAAATTGTTTTTTTACACAATGTAACCGACATGTCGTATAATATACTAACATTACCGATGTACTACTCGAACACGCCGATTACGTTAAACGAACGCGTTTAATATTATCGATACGCAATACGTTTGGGTTGGGTTGGGTTGGGTTCAACTAATAACGTTAAACGTATTATTGCGTATTGTAATTGGTCGGGTGTTATAAAAAAAATTGTACGCCAAAAAAATAACCAATACGCGTTTATTCGTCATACGTTTATAATTACAAAAATAGACATAACAAATGTTTAATATTTCTTACGTATAAATCGATTGTTATCGTTATTAAATTTACAAAAATCGATACGCGTCTTTATTCGGTTAATAAAGATGCGTACGAAATACGCGCGTCGTTACATATGAATTATTCTTTTATTATTTCATACTTAATAATCAAACAGTAATTGTTCCCTTGTCCAATCGGACATTCCCATAAAGGAATTGTATTCGTCTTCGATCAAATCACAGATTTTTTCCAGATTAGCTAAAACTTGTTGTTTTTCTGTAGGCATGACGTCGAAACGGTACGATTTTCCGTACGACGCCGCATCCTCTGCGTGGGGCGCGGGGAAGTTGCTGAGATAAGTCTCCAACACGTCCTTTGTCGGTATAAAATATGTCGGTAGACACCCGTACTCGAAATTAAATATTTTCGATTCATTGTTGGTCGACATACAAGAAATGCAAAACGATCTTATATGATTCAATGACGTTGGAGTTATTTCGATTTCTATATCGTTATTATAACCTGTGAATGAATAATGAGTACTGCGATTAAATATAATAAGAGCGGCATTTAACGTTTTCAACGCTTTTTGAACGCGTTCTACGGGCACCTCGACTTTGGCGTTTAACGCGTCGTAGGCGTAAACGGCCAACAATAAACAATACCTTCTCGTACGATAACGCAATAGTTCTTCTGCCTGGTTAAAGTTTTTACCCCACACGTACTTCCATAACGAACTTTGTTGCCATCTTTGAAAAAGTCTATCCGTCGTTTCGTCGGCACCAGTGTAATTGCTTATTTGGAAAACGAAGGCGACAACCATCGATACGACGAGAATTTTCATTTTTACTAAAAGAACGATTACGTCCGGTCGTCAAACAATTTAGCGCAACGGTTAATATAATTAGTAAACGATATTGACTTCTGTAATTACAAGTAGAGTAAAAA